TTCGGCCAACCCAGTACAGGTTTAGACCGCCAAGATCCCCTCCACTCCTCGAGGAGGAACAGCAAACGGCGAAGGAGCTAGAAGTGAGAAAAGCTTTTCCCCACCTCTTCTAAACAGCAGCAGCAGCAGCGGAAACAAAAATCCAGATCCAAATCCAAGTCTGCTGCGACCGCCTGTGATATTGCAGAAGCCAGGCACGAGCAGGGCAAAAAGTTTAACCATTTAACTAAACGGGTTAAAAGGACTTAACACCCATCCATAGATCGTTGAGGGCCGAATCTGCCCGAATCGGCCCGTTGATTGGCCAGATCCAGGCAGCGGAAAACCGCAGACGCCAAACATGCTCAAAGCCCAGACCTGACCCAGACCCCGTGATGCCTGTGATCCGCCGTTGGATGTAGCAGACCGTGATTTGTCATGCTCCGGCGACCTACAGTATTTTAGACTTTCCACCGCTTGCCCCTATTATTGGTAAGGAGAATAATTCCTGTTTCCTGTTTCCTGGTTCTGTACGGATGTTTAAAACGCGCCTCTTTACGGAGTTATTCATGACCCTATTCATGACCTATCGAAACTAGCTATGCCACTCCCCATCAACCGCAAGGGCCCACCTATTCCACGGCGATAGCAAACAAAATCGGCGCCGGTGTTGTTGGCCAGCTGTTGTTGTTGGGAAACTGCAGCTCGTGCCAAGATCCGCCAAGACGTCGGAGCCAGGACGGGGATAATGTTGCGCCTTTAAGCTTTGGCCCCTGCTGGGCTTGGCGCTCCTGTGGCGATGTTCCTGCGTCCGTTTGCTGATCCTCCGCGCCGGGCTGCATCCGCCTCACTTATCCCCACGCGAGTTTACGGCGCCGTTGGCAGGATGGATCCCATATTGCACAAACATTCGGGAGAAGGAGGTCGACGTGATGGGGATATTATGCTCGACGTGGCTGACCGGACTCTATCCGCGACCGTGTCCGTGTCCGCGTCCGTGTGCCCCCCCTTTTGGCTCTTGCGCAAAGAAATAACAACAATGATATTGTGTGTATATATTTATCTACAGATTCTATATACGAATCATGTCCCATCGGTGGCTCTAGCCCTCTGGCTGCAGTCAGATAGTATAGGTCAATACAATAATATATCTCTCTGACGTCGACGGTGACCTTCTCCCATCTGGGAATGCCAGAACTCTGGTAACTTTAGCTGGCCCTTCCTTTGCCCCGTTTCCTTGCTGCGGCGGGTTCTGTGACGTGGAACAAACCCGAAGCCTCTGTAATAGTATGCCCTCCAAAAAGATTCGTCCATTTACTTTTTGCCTCCTGACTTCCCCTTTATCACTTGCGGGCCCCTTGACTGCTCCGCTCTAGCCAGCTCTATTCACTATAAAGTATATAGAACCACGCAAGGGCCCGCTGGCATATTAGCATATCAAACGCCTCCTCTATACCCCGACTTCTCTCCCCAAGACCCACTGTGTTGGTTTGTATGCCCGGGTTGTATGCTTGCACATGGAGACTGCAAGAAACTAGATTCAAAGCTACATACACTCCAGCCCTTCATATCAAGAAAAAGAACATCCAATCGAATGACAGACAAAACACAGCCATGTTCAAACGCATCGTCTTCACGACAGTTACTCCTCTCCCTTCCTATATGCCGCGGGACCTCGTCATCAACACCCTCCATGCCCACAGTGAGATGATAGAGCTGAACCCGCTCGTGATCAAACATAAACGTTGCAAAGCCCCGCCCAACGCCCCGCCAGACGAATTCCACTGCATCTGGTATGAGCTGACAGACAACATCCACTATCTCCCCGGCCGCATAATACGGAGCAACGTCACCTACAAGGCCTGCTTCCACGACCTCCAACGCGGCCTACAAACACACATCTACGCACCCACGAACCTCGACATCCGGAATCGATGGACGGTGTGCGGGAACATGCCGGGCGAGCCGCGGGAGCCGGTCGAACTGGGCCTCACCAACGTGCCGCGTGAAGGCCTTTTCCTCAGGGAAGACGTCGATATGCGATGCAACACCTTCGCCGCCAGCTTCGTCAAGAAGACGCTGAAGGACGCACACGCCGTTCTGGTTGACCGCCTGATCATGAAGGCCGACCAGCGCAAGGGGAAGATAGACAGGCTATACTCAACCCTCGTGGG